GCAAACGGCCCGATGATCCGGAATCCTCAAGGAGACAAAGGAGTAACCTAACTCTTACTCGGAGTCGAATCAGCAGAAGGAAATGTTGAAGACTGAATAAGCTCGAGGATTCAAACTTTGAGAGGGCCGTATCCTTGCGATTACAACCTTAGCAGAGAGGGAACAACGAAGCCAGGCGAGCAATTCCATCTCTGCTTCTCTGCCTTTAAAAATGTGAACTTTGGGGTGATAACTCGGATTTCTATCGTTGCATCACAGCATAGAGCAGGACGAGAGACAATGTAAATTATATTTTAAACACAACTTTCCTACTCTTTCGTAACACCAAGGAGCAAACGAAAGAAATGAGAGGGATCTGGCTTCACTCACTTCTCCTGCTGCTCAACTCAATCCCGTATAAATCTCACAATCGACCCTGGAACCGCCTGAGACCCATAACATATCCGAAAATAAATTTAATAGCAGGAACTCCATTGGGATGAAGACGCAGCGCTATATTGGTTCCCGACCCTCCCAAAGCGAACTACGACCCTCTGAAGTTCAACTAAGAAGATCCCATGATTTCTAACATCAGCAGAAAAAAAGAAAGTGAGCAATTATATCTCATAAAAGGAGGGAGCGAGCATCAATACTTGAATTGATAAACACTTTCCCAACACTTTTAATTAGACCGTTTTTAGTTATTCGCATCCTGGCCAGCCACCTGCATTGCTGTGGGGTCTGTCAAAAAGTGAGCCATCGACAACAGTACCAGTTTTGCCCAGATTTAGAGCCAATGTCCTCAACCCTTTCATCTTTTCCACCCGCCTCAATGATCAAAACTCATTCTAGCTCCTTTGTAATCCGCCTATCTCTCCCATCCCTCGCTGTTCTTTGTTCACTTACTGAGACCCTTTCCCTTTTACCTCGATTGGACGTAGTCAATTCATTTCTTACCAAAGAATAGGGGTGCGCAGCAAGCGAAGCACTATTGGGTGAAGTCGTACCATCTTTTTCTGGTTCAGAACACACGAGCTACAACTTACTAGTACTTCTACCAAAAGATAAACTGGCCTTGGAACCCTACCATCTACATTTTGACAGTATTATAACTTATTTTAAGCCATCGTCTGTCAGTTAGTCGAACGTCAGCAAAAACAAAGCTTTGAAAAAAAAATCCAAAAGAAGCATTTAAGTAGGATTACGTTCAAACTGAGCACTAAGTCAACAATAATGATTTCTTCGAGAAAAACAGCTATGATTCTGAAGCAATCTAATCACACTGCAAATAGCCGTTAGCTTTACTGAATTCTTGGAAAAACTTACTGCTCTGGAAACAACTGTCAATAGGTGAGAAGCCAATCCATAGCGAATTCACGCTCCCTGTGTCAAAGAATCCAAAACATGAAGTACTGGAAGCCCTTTCTGAAGTCGGTCGGCAAGCATAAACTCAAGTTACATCAAAGAAAACGGCATGAAAGGGTCCGTGCACGATATATATGCGCTCTCCAAAGCCCATCAAACAGTGAATCTATTGCAACTCTCTATGGAGGGTAATATGAAAATGGGACCCCAAACATTGAATAAGAGGACAACTCCCCATAAGGGTACAGAAGGCAAGCGAAATTCCCAGATCCCACAAAGATGCCGAAAGTTTCAACACAGCATTTCCAAGAAATAGAGTGTTCTTGGGACAAAG